GACTTTTTCTGTTTGACATTTTGCTTAGTATGATAGTCTCAAGATCCATTCATGTTGTTGCAAATGGCAGTATTTCATCTTTTCTTTTGGCTGAGTAATATTCTGTTGCATATATGTATCACACCTTCTTTATCCAATCATCTTTAGTTGTTTCCATGTTCCATGGGCCACCTTGAAAAATGCTGCAATGAATATCTTCATGGAAATGTTTTCAGATTTTTCTGGGTAGATACCCAGAAGAGGGATTGCTTGGTTGTATGATAATTCTATTCTTAATTTTTTGAGGAACCTCCATCAATTTTCGAAATTGCGAAAAAATGCTGCACCGAGCATGTCAAATCCCTCTGTCTCTGAGTAAATGTATAAGTCTCTAAATTATCTGTAGGATAAATTCCTAGATAAACTCTCAGGTCAAAGAGGATATGTACTTTACATTTGTATAGATTTTGCCAAATTGCCCTTCTTTTATATCTATTTTGTCTTGTATCTATTTTGTCTTAGAACCAATCTGTCACAATCCCTTGCTGATCTCTAGGTGGGAAAGAGGAAACTCAATAAATGTTTAAGTCATATACTCAAAAGCTTTAAAGGTAATGACAGGCACCAGTTGTCAATTGCATTGACCAAGACTATCCTGGAGGAAAAGATGACATGTCAAATGTTTAGATTTCAAGGCAAGGAGAGAGTGGGAGAGAAGAAAAGTCAGGAAAGTCGGAGGGGATGAGAAAGCAAACATTTATTGCTTGTCTTCTGTGTCCAGGTGTTGCGATACGCACATTACATATGTTACCTGCAGTGTGTTAGGAATTATCATTATGGCCCCTGCAGGGATTGGCTTGGGTCTCTGGGCATGAACCCAAACCAGGTGAGCAGACTTAAGGACTAAACACTGCCAACGTCAGTGCAGGTGCTGTTTCTCTGGTGCAAAGATAAGAGCCACTTCCTCAACAGCCTGAAGATAGACTCTATTCACAGCAGGTATATTTCATTAAAATAGCCCATTCCTGCAGCCCCTCCAAGCGTTCTGTTATAGATGTTTATGTCATATTTTAACCCCAAAGTCACAAACCAGTGGCCAGAAGGTTGGATTGTCCCACAGACATGGTTTGTTTGGACCCCATCAAGTTATAAAAAAATTGAGCTAGCACTTAAAAATCAAGGGATGTTACACAAAATCTCAAGTCCTGGTTTCTCTTTCAGAAGGATAAAGGTCTCCATCAGTGGACAGGCATTCCACCTGGCAACAACCGGCATAGCTGAATGAAAAGCAGCTGCCCCTTAAGACAGGGCGTATGCTCTCCAATTTATTCTAGTCCCTGTCACTCCCTATTGCCTCCTTGATATAAAGGTGTGTCTCTATTGAAATAGTAACCCTGGTGTATACCTTCCAGTTGAGAAACTTCTTGCTGTAAATATTCTTTAAATCACGAGGAAAGGAAAATTGGAAGGGAGCCACACACAAATAGAAAAATAAGAGCAAATATAAGCCTACCCCAGTGGTTCTCAAATCTGTCTGTATAATAGAATTACCTGAAAAGTCCTGCAAACGTGATGAATGCCTGAGTCTCACCTCCTCACCTTCATTGGCTTGAGTAGAATACCAGGCATCAGTTTATAAAATTCCTCAAGCGATACAAATGTAGAAAAAAAAATTGAGACATCGAAGTCTTAATCTAGGTCTATTTGTAGAACACTGGCTCCTAGAAGTATATCAGCTTTGGATTCCCTGCCCCAAGCCAACCATTTGAACCACACTGCTTATGCAATTGTCACTGAAGTCTAGTTTACCCTAGCAAAGTGTATATTCAGAGCAAAACATACTGGAGGACATAATAGACACTAAATAAACGTTAGCTGTTTCTTACCAGAAACATTGTTCCTCTCCTCTCCCACTTTGTCTGACCAATCCAGTCCTTCTTATCTTCAGCTTAGCATATCTATTTCTCTAGACTCTGCCCATTTCTTCCTTTCATTTATGATTCCAGGTTTGTAATGAAGAAGCTGAATCTCAGAGAGCTCAGTCACTAGTGAAGGTCATCTTCCTGATGGATGCGGACACAACTCTTTCTTTTTTTTTTTTTGTTTTAAGATTTTATTGGGGGAGGGGAACAGCATTGGGGAATCAGGGAAGGGGAACAGACAAGTTGCTGTCCTTTTGTTCTTCAGTCTAGTTGTGGAGGACGTCGCTTCACTGGCCCATGTTGGTATTATTGCGCTCTTCCCGGGTGAGGCAGATGGGTCACCGGTCACTGGATGGCCGCTCACGGCAGCTGCTAGCCACTTGCGGTAGCTCACAGTAGCCCACTGCAGCTCCACTGCAGCCTAGACTGTCGGGCAACCCATGGCAGCCCAGCTCCAGGTTGAGCTGTTGTTCACCATCTTACCTGTAGAGGGCGCAGCGTCATTGGCCCTCATGTGGGATCCGAACTGGGGCCCTGCTGTTCAGAGCTGGTGTCCCAAGCCAATTCTTAACCAACGCACCACTCGGCCGGCCCCAGACCGAACTCTTTCTGATTGCAAAAATCTATGCTCTTTCCACTACACCAAATTGTTCCACAGTATTACTACCTCTCCTCTTGTTTTTGAAAGCCCTTTGGCGATAAAGCCTTTTCTTTTGCAAAGAGAAAGGAAGCTTGAGGGAAAATGCCCATGGAGGGGGTAAAGTAATGAAATAAAACCACACTGATGTATAAATGACTAATTGCAGATTCTTTCATGAGAATAGATTGGACTTAAATATGACATTACTTTTGGCTGGTGAAAGGAGTTTTACATGCTTATTGAAAGAAAATTGGAAAATAGATGAAAATCAAAGGAAGACATTTGCTAGAGAATTACCACTCTTGAAAACCAGTCTTAATATTTTGATATGCTTTCTTCTATTTTTTTATCCATTTATCTCAAAATTGAGATCACATGATAGATACAATTTTCTCTCCCAATTCATCATCTAGTATTTATTGACTATTTCACTGATTCATTGAAAATTCTTTGAACATTTTCTAATAGCTGCAAAGTATCTTGTTGTGAAGAACCACTCTGAAATATTTAACCAGTTTTAATGGAAGATGCTAGGGATAAATTTTGAAGGATGTGGGGGTATTTTGCAATTGCACAAGGGAACCCAAGGGCTCATATGCCAGCTCTCTGTCAATATTCACTGTCTTGGTTTGCTTCCCAAGAACCACAGCTGTAGCTGGTCTATGCTTGTGGTTGACTATTTTATTTGGATTTGAACTGAATCCTTGGAGAGTTTAGATTATGCCAGTTTTTCAGTGGAGGAAGACCAAACTTAGAATAAAGAAATAAAGAAGGAAACAGAGTCAAAGGGGATTATTTTAAATTGGAGACGTGTAGGTGGTTTTTTTTTTACCTTTGAAAACAACTCCAAGAGGGCGGTCAGTACTTTTTCATGGGGCACACATTCAGCGATAAGACAATGAATCTGGTATTTAAACATCTTCCCCCCTTGAACTAGATTTTAAACTATAACATTTAAGCATTATTCATTGAATGTGTATCCTGTGCCAAACAACACATTAAGGATATGATGAAGAGAGACACAGGATTCCTTTCTGGTTTATTTGGAAGACAAAATAACAATATTTTGTAACTATATTTCCTCATTTATAAAATAAGGGAATCTCTATAGCCCCTTTTCCAGGATAAAGGAGTATGGTCTCACATCATTCACTAATTTAAGGAACATTTATTAAATCACTACTATCTTGCATGCACTGTGCTGGTTGTTGCTGATGCAAAGTTAGTTGCTCTTAAGAACTTCACTGTGCAGTGAGGGCAGGTAATAGAAATGTAATTTACAATAAAGTGCAATGACTTGGCATTATGGAACTAGTCTGTGGGTGATCAGGGTCACATAGTGGAAGCGTCTGTGTTTCTGAGAAGGAAAGGGAAGCAGTGCAGAAGAGGAGAAGATAATGAGTTGTCACAACACAGGAGCAAAAGCTGTCCACGCAGAGAACCTGAGAAGTGGCATGTAGCGTATACAGCAGCACAGGAGCATGAGAAAACATTACATATTCAAGAAGTGATTGGAATATAAGTTATGTTTACTAATTTATCTGTTACACAAACATTTATTGCACACCTAGAGTGCGAAGCATTGCACTAAACCCTGGGAACGAAAGGGAGATCAACAGAAATATGGACTCTGATTTCAGAGGACTTAAAGTTGATTGATAGAGACACACAATAGACAAGTGATCACACAGATCAATGTATAATTACAAGTGGTCACAAAAGCTGTGAAGGAAAATTCTCAGAGTCCCCAGTAGGATCAAGAAGTTTAAGAATCATCTAGGGGAAATTGTGGTAGCAAAGCAAAACATTCAATGTGGTAATAATCTGCTCAAAATATCTCTTAAAGAAGGCTGGAAATGGTGATTTGGTGGAATTTACAGTGTCATGTGGCTCAAGCATGCAGGACATAGTGGATTGGCACAAGGTGAGTCTGAAGCAGAGACTTAGGCCAAGTCAGATAAGCCCAAAGGCCCCACCAGATAGTGATAGGCACTTACTGAGGTCTTTGATTATGCTTATCATTTATTAATGTGGTATTTAAGTCCTATTTTATCCGGGCTGTACCTAGTTCCAAAGTGTCTTCTTTTACTGTGTTTCTCCTCCTAAATGGACCTCCAGGATTTTCTACCAGCTACTTCTTCTTTAGAAACTGCTCTTATCCATTCCCATGGTTACCAGCCTCATCACACACTGGTTCTTGGTGATTAATTTTAGGGATCTACACAATCCAAAATCAGCCAATCAGAGTGCTCCTTGCTTCAGACCATAGCATATGGGTCAAGGGGTTTTTCCAATAATTTTCTTCTCAGATCATTTTCCATATTTATACTTGCACAGGATACATGGAAATCCATACCATGAGTTATACAGAGTGATAGTAATACCAATTTATTTTTATTTATTTATTTATTTATTTATTTATTTATTTATTTATTTATTTACCAACAAATTCAGTAGAGACAGAGAAATAGTACAGGATTTCCTGAGCCTTCATAGTTGTGTCTAGAGTGTTCCTGGACTAAGTCTGGAACAAGCAGTAGTTTGCCCATGGGACAAAAATGTCCAGGAGAAAGACGCCACCCACCTTCATACCACATTGCGTATTTACAGATTAGCCTAAAAGAGGGTAGAAAAGATCTGACATTTGTAAATAATAAAGAATCTGTCAGGAGTTCTCTGAACCCAGGAGCTGGGACAGAAAGGATAAATCGCATGGGTCAGGTCTGTACCCTGACATCCCTGGGAAGGGTCTCGAGGAGCGTCTTCATCCTGGGATTACCAACACTGAAGGCCTTGGCATTTTTCTGTAAATTGGTTCAGTCCAGTTCACTGCTGGACCTAAGAAAACAAAAAAAAAGAGACAGAATATTTGTTTCCTCTTCACTTAACTGATGAAAGAGACATTGACCCATCCTAGCACTTCAAAGCAAAAGAAGGCATCAAAGACTTGGGAATTTTGGTAATTTAAGCAACAGTAACTTGCATAGCACCTACAAAATCCTATTTGTGGAGACTCTTTCCTGGGGCTTTTGGGGTATTCTGCATGAAGTAGATGTTCTAGAAGGAAACCAAATGTTCTTATAAACCTCTTCTAGTGAAATTTTCTCCACTATATAAGAAGGCTATTCTCAGACCACGTATGAGGGGTACATATACCAGGTTATCCCAAGTACAGATCGGAGAGGGGACAGATGCCATAGCCAGACCACCTTCATACTTCCCAAGAAGTGGATTGGCCACTTTGTAACGCTGTTTTAAAGTTTCTGCTTCTAACAGGAGAATTTGAATTGTACTCCGTGAATGAACAGAAAGCTAATTTGAGGGAACAATGACAACAGATGTTAACAAGCATAATGCACGAAAAGCCTAAAATGATTGTGTGGTCAGTTAGATGTAGCAAATATTGATTTAAGATGTGCAGGACTTTTCAGAGCCTTTACTAAGTTAATTTATGTTGTGTATCTCCAAAGACATAAAACTGTAATTGCGATTTTCAAAATTTACTTAACTAACGAAAAATTTTATTTTTCTACCCAGATTCCTGAGGAATAATCCTTATAATAATACCAATAACATTAATTGAGCATTTATTATGTGCCAAGAACTGCAGTAATTGGTTTACACAAATTGATACTCATGACAAGTCTTACAGGTAGAATCTATTACTCTTCTCATTTTACAGAGAGAAAAGCTATCCAACACTTTTTTTTT